TATTCCCATGAGGTTCATTCTCATTTAAAAAAATAATATAAATCCTTGATGTATCTATCACTTGCTGACACTTTTGCAAAGGCTAAAAAAACCCTTCAACTTTACAGATATTGTCATTTATAAAAAAAGTAAAAAGCTCCTTTAGCCCTGGTAAGTGTGGTTGTTTCTTAATTAGAAGAGCAACATTTACATTTGAAACATTTAAATCTAATATTGATCTCAAATAATGTTAACAATATAATTGCTCTTGAAAGGAAACTATAAGCCACAAAAAGGAAAGAAAATGACACAATCTTAAAACACTTAGATAAGCCTTTTCTAGACATTAATCATGTATAAACTTTCTCATAAAACCTTCCCTTTTGTACTCATTTACACTTTCAAATCTAATTATAACCCATTGTTATTTTAAAGATCAAGTCCCAGCTGTTTCATGGTGTGCTTTCTTTCTAATTAAGTATTTGAGACCAAAGGGACTCAGACCGAGGCTACATCATCATCTCAATTTTCACAAGCTGACATGAATCATGAAAATAGTTCTTGATTATTTCCCTAACAGCTTTGATGTGAAGGGAAAAAAAAACAAAACACAATACTGAGCTAAGTACATTTTCCCCACATGCTACAGGGTCACCAAATATGGTTAAGTAGAAACTGATCTTTAACACCAGAGCTTCTGCTACATTGCAGGCAATAACCTAAATCAATACAGCATAACACCAGCCAGTATGTGGTAAGTGATAAAAAAATAGGTATGTAGAGATATCGATGCAAAAATGATACAGACCAGCCACAATATCCGGAGATAAAAATACAACCCTTTAACAGTCCTGGACCTGAATAATTTTAACGATTACACACAAAGCAAATGAGCAGAAACTGTGGGTAAACACAACTGGTGCTTTTGTTCTACTGTTATACCCTCTGTTAATGACTATTAACAAGAATGACTATTTGGAGGGTTAAGCATTAATTTTTTCGTAACTACCGGACATTATTTGGTGACATCATGACATTCTAATAACACGCAAGTTATGCATCAGTGATAAGAAAAATGGAGCATTTTCCTTACACTCTAGAGATCAACAAAAGTACCCTTGACTGATTGAGAAGGATGTTAAAGACACATCTCTGAAAACACTTTAAAAATAATTCCTCAGGTAGCTTGTCTCAACTCAGAAAGGCTGGCATAGCTATCAAAATCTCAACAATGGGGAAAATAATACCCCTCACACTTGTAATTTCTGTCCTTTTATAAAAATAATTTCTAAGAAAGTATAGTAAGAATACTTATTGATTTTTAAAGCCAATTACCTCTGAGAACTTATAAGATCTTTTTTATGGGGCATACTTATTTCATAAATCAATATCAAAACCTGAAAGAAAGAACACGTCGATGTCTAAATAATTCTCACACTAGTACATGCAAATAAGAAACTCTGTCAAAACTGCTAATATTAGACATGTTTCAATTATTGCTTTACTTTAAACAAGAATCTTATGAATCCCTAACATGCATTAAATGGAAAGAACGATACAGCAATGAGAAAGCAATCCTCTGTGGGTTCCTCATACTTTCTTTGAAATGAGAAAAATGTAAGCTTCATGTATTTCTTCCAGTTTTTCAGTGTCCATGTGCTCACAAAGGACACTATTCTGTCAGGCATTTACACTGCTTGCAGAGAACTCTTCTATCATGGGGTTTGGCCTGGAGCTTCAGAAAGAATAAAAATATGTGAAGGGAAATTACACTTGCCATTTTGTTTTGTGGAAGTTTGCAGTCAGATTTCTCTGGTGAACAGAAAAAATGGTTAGCAATTTTTCATATCCAAAATGATCAGTCATTCACTATTCACATCTATGGTGAACTACGTAGGTTAATGTTGTCCCAAAAGCAAGGCGGAAAATAAAATGTCCTAATAGCAGTAAATCAGTGGGGGGGAAAAAGAAAAATCCTGGAAGGCTTTTGTTTCTTCTCCCTCTTCATTGTGCATTAGTTTTGCACATGCATTTTATAATTCTTGATTTATATTCAGCAAAGACGCTTTCTCTGGCTTTAGGAACTCATCCAGTTTCTCCGTCCGATGCTGCAAAGGATTTTGTTGTTATTTCCGAGTTTAAAATGGGTGGTTCTCACTTCATTCAAAAGAAAGATGCTGCCTTGAAAAAGATGGCTGATCTCTAGAGATGAACATTCTTACTGCTGAATTATAACAAAACCTGTTCTATGAGGGTATAGGAGTTGTGCTAAACATCATATATGAATCACCCCACTTATTTCACAGCCCTCAAATGGCCATATGTAGGTAGGCTTGGAGACATTAAGAAACTTTCTCTGAGTCACAAACAACTAAATTTCTGAAGATCTGGCACATTTTTTTTAATTCTGAAGAGCTTAGACACAACTGTTAATTTTTTCATATATTCAATTATTCAACAAACGTTTCCTAACAGACTAAGTACCAAGCATAGAGTTAGATGTGGGAATACAAAGAATTTTGATACTTGCCCTCAAGGACATTACCTTCTAGATTGGAAGAGAGACCATTAAATAAACATAGTGCCACCGCAGGTCCTTACAGCCCCAAACAGAACAACTGACACAGAAGCCCTGAAGGATATGAAATTGAAACTTTTTCTAATTAATAAATGTTTATAATTGTAACAGAGTAGAAAACATTTGGCAAACCCATCTAAAAAATACTTATTCTGTTTATGGCACCAACCTAAAATAATAAAATTAAAAATCAATCACATTTTTCCAAATTGTGTAATATGATATTTATCTTTGGAAAATTTTCATGGACTTGAGATTTTATTTCTGATTGGCTTAATTATGCTAATTTAAGGAACCCAATTTACAACAATGACTGAAAAGCTCAATACTGAATACCAGTTATACCTAAAGATTGTTAGTGTTTGAAAGATCAAAGCAGAGTCTGATAAAATATATATCCACTAACTGAAATAAGTGCGCTCAGTATTCCAATTGAGTGATTGGCATCCACCTTTCATCTTTTGAAAAGCTAGCATTGGATATTAAAAGTTAAAAACTACTACTGGGAATGCAAACCTAAGAACTTCTTCCAAAGAAATACAGAATTTGAGCCTGGTAAATTTCCTCAATAGAGCTTCAGGGAGTAAAACCTGGGCCTTCTCTCTAGATAAACATTTCAGATAAGTAATATAAATTCTTTGAACAGACAATAGACAAAGACAGCTTCTCTCCTCTTCGCCTACTTCACCCACTCACCCCTCCCTCTGCCCCTTCCTCATAGTAACCACCATTGACAGATAGTATCTACACTAGTCCAGGTGAGGATTTAATCATGTATATAACTATTGAAACTCTATGTTGCATAGCATACTTGAGACCAGTATAATATTGAGTACCATCTATAGTTAAAAAAAAAAGACAGCTTCTCTCATACTGGTGGAGCCATCTGAATATTAAACCAGTTATCAGGGTCCCAGTTGCCAAAGGTGAAGTGAGGATTTTGCTGTCTATGTTAAGACTGATTTTCTTTTCATTAATGCCATTAAATTTAACACTATCTTAAATTCTGTGCTAACCAAAATTTCTTCGATATACGAGTATGCTAAGGTGCTGTGTTTGCTTACACTCATTGTAACAGTGTGTTACAGTGTCTCTGGGCAGTTCCATTTTTTCCTACAAGACTGTCAGTTTCTGGTGAACAAAAATGGTTAGCCCAATGATCAGTATGGAGCTGGTGCTCAAATACGTGTCCTGAATAGAACTGAATGTGTATTGTTAATTTCAAAGTATTTTTGTACCCCTGACAGTTTACTTCACAGGCAAACAAACCATAATTTCACATTCACCATCTCTATTAGTATGTTCAAGTTATGAATTTTGCCTATCATATTTCCCACGATACAATAAATCAGTTTCAAAGACATCTTAACACACTGGAGAAAAGGAACTTCTGAGTGAAAGGTCATTGCTTTCATGTTAACATTATTATTTTTCAAGACCTGATAGTCACAAACAACTTTATATGGTTTGCCACAGCTGAAGTTGAAAAATGTTATGACTACCAGTCACCCTTGATTAAACAAATGGCATTACATAAATACTATTTACATTAGCAGTATGAAACAGAGTCACATCACTCATAAAATTCAGGTCTTCTTTCAATTTTCTTACCTTTAAAAAAGATTTATTTAATACTTCTAATATTTTTCTGGAATGTATCAGTCTCTCATAGTATGAGCTCACTCAAAATAAAAAATTTATATCTTCATCATTTGTCTGTTATAAATATAACTGGCTAATATTTATGAAGGTCTCAAGTTACTTTAGAGAGCATTTTTATATAGGTACTCTTATGGCTACATGCTATTTTCAATACATTAATATGATAACATTAAGTAAAATTTACCTCACTTCTGCTATAATATATTTTCATTAAAAACCCACTTTCTTGTGAGGTACTATGGGATATCTCAGGAGAGGTAACATTCTGAATAAGAGAATCTATAAATATGGTCTAAAAGCAATATTAAGATTTCAGTTTACCAAAATTGACACACTCAATATAAGTATTATGCCACATGTTGATTTAGAGTTTGCTAACAAAATAGCCATAGGTGAATAAAATGGAAAATACATAAGGATAATACCTAGTGTGACTAAACTAAATTTACACAGTTCCAGATAAAGAAACCAAATGGTACCGATTCTAGATGTGGATGATTCTTTTTACATATATTTATCATTAGTGCTAGAGAAATTGGTAAATAGTAAATTTTGAATTCGAGTAAAACAAAAAGCATATCCTTAATTGTCTAAACTCAGTAATAATCATTTCTAGGATCTGTACCTGTGGCTGCAACAGGCAACAGTACATCAAATTCATGAGGAAATAAGAGTGAAACTCATACAAACCGCCTATGCTGTGTTGGGAATTGGGTCATTTCTGAGTGTGAAAGGTTGTCTTCACTACAATTCAGAGTATTAATCAGTGTCTTGTACTTACAGCAGGGTCTGCATCTTCAGCGTGAACTGTTGTGATAGGTGTGCCTTTGACAGCATCTGGAGCCACCATTCCTTTGTAGATTCGTTTAGTAAATATGGGAGGGTAATCATTCATATCCTGGAAAACACAATTAAGGGTTTAGGGCTCTGGTTGAAACTGGGTTAGGTACACAGTTGCTACACTGGCTCCATCTCTTTATATCGCACAACCCATTTGCCACTGTTGGCTTTCTATGCTCCGAAGTCCATCATTCTCACTTCAGAATGGCACCCTAGAGGAAACTGCCATCCTTCCTATGTGATGTTAGTGTGTGTGATATCAACTGAAGGCCGTTCCATTCCAGTACATAATCTGTCACCATTGTCTTGCCTCCTCCTACCCCAAAATATACTTTTAGAGATTGGAGTAATGCTTGAAACTTTCTCTGAAGATACTTCTAATGGTATGATGTACTTAAACTTTGAAAACAAGAACAAATTTTATAAAAAGTGCTATTTTATGAGATAGGTGTAGAAGATGGTGTTTGTTTTCTTATTGCTTTTTTATGAAAGCTCTTACTGTTTCTGTTGCAACTATAAATTCTTTATCTACTTACCACACTAATATATAATTAGAACATTTCAAATGTAAGCTGAAATATCCCTTAATGCCATCTGACATTTTTATAAATGTATAAATACACACATATAATGCACACCACAATGCACATAGGGCACACTACAGTAATGACACATAAGACCAAATGTTCCTATAGATGGAAAAGTGTTAATTTTCTTAAGGATCTTTTCAAAGTAATTTATAGACATCTATCTTATTTTCATAATCCATTGATACAAGTTCATTGTTATTTATGTAGTTACTCATTAAGTAAATATTCATTGAGTTCCTCCCGTTTTTATGACCCAGTGCTAGGCACTGGTGATGCTGTGGTGACTTAAGAAAAAGATGTCTCTGACTTCATTTCCCTTACTGGCCATCTGACAGATGAAGGTCCTAATTCTGCAGACAGATTAGTAGCTTTGTCTAAATTAATCTACCTATCTGGCAGAGGCAAACTCATAAATCTGGCCCCATGAGAGCAGGACCATTTTTTTCTCAATCATTTTATCTTTTATGGAGAGTAGTGTATCTGTCATTTTCTTCTCAAAAATCATGCTTATTAACATGTATGATTTATAATCTTAAATTTATTTATTTTAAAATAGCCCTTACATCCTGCATTGTTTTGGGTATTTTGGGTTAAACGTATTTGGCCCCAAAGCTGTATTTGTTAAATATCTTATTTTACCCATCTTTTTTTTCTCACTTGCTACTAAAAACTAAATGAAATTACGAAGTCTTTGATATCTGCTCTGATAACAGCACTTTTCCTGCACACTGTCAATTTGAAACACACTAATTAACTGATTATAAACGCCTTTTTGCAAAGCGGGCATGGTAATTATCTATTACAATCAAATACAGGTTTCTTTTATGTTGACAGCCGAGTTGTGAATATCAAGAACCTTCAGAATTTGGTTAAGAAATAGGAGGTCTTGAACTGTAAGCAAAATTGAAATATAAAAAATATCATTTCCTCTGTTTTGACATTCAGTTTCACCATCTCCCTATGAAATAGAAGACTTCCTTTATAAATTATGGACTTCAGAATATGACCAGTCAAGGAACCTAGGTAGTCCTGGTTCCCTATAATGAGGGTGTGTGGGGTACTGATCATGAGTTCCAAGTAAGGGAAATATATATATATATGTAAAACATTTTCATGCACTCTTTGTCCTGCTCTTTTCAAGAATGCCAATTAATTTAGTCAGTGAATCTCATAACTAACGGGGTAGAAATCCTCTTGCATCCTTAAACTGTGACTCCTGATGATTAGGAAAGGAGTCTCCACACTGCAATCTTTCTGTTCATGAGTTTCCAAAAACTCACATAAACTCAGTATGTTTCTACCAATTTTCTTCTTTTTCCCCCAGAGACATTTAAAACCTTAATGTTACAAGGTACTTTTGAATAATTTGATTCTTTAGGGAAAAAAAAAATGACTTTTGATTTTTCCAGTTATGACCTATAGTTACTAACAGTGCTGAATATAGTGGCCTTTTTTTCCTGGGAAAATATTTACCTTCTAACCAAAAGCACAATAGACATTTTTAGAATGTGGCCTCATAAACCAATTAGACACAAACCTGCAGCTGTTGATAGCTAAAGACACTATTAAGAGACTGGTATAGCTCCCACCCTCACCTTTGGTTTGCTTGCCATTGACATGATAAAGAATAAATCAATACTGCTATTGTAACAGTATTTCTTTTTATGGTACATTGTACACATTTCGGGGTCACAATCTTTTATTGTGGTGAAGATGGGCAGCCGGTTGTCTGTAGTTCTTGCACAATGCATTATTTCAGATGAGAAAATTTATTGAAATGCAATGCCAATGAGCATAATCAATAGCTCATTACAGTTATGCTCCAGGGATGTCTGAAGAAAAATGTACATAAATCTGCTTCTCTCCAAATGTCCTATTATACAGCAAATTAAGAATGAGCTCCACTCTTCAAAAGCCCATTATTCCACTAGAGGGTAGTATTGGTACAAAGAAACATTTCCTCTCTGTCTTCTTATTAGCAATTTTATCATTAAGACCCATAATAGGTTGCTTTCTGTGGTTATAATTTTTTGCTGGTCTGAGCAAAAATTACTTGTCATGTTTCTAAAGCGTACTCTGAATGTTACCATGGTTCTCGGCTAGAACACCATGCTCTTTATAGAGAAAAGAAATTGTTGTACTTAGTGAACTTATAATTTGTTTCCATATATAGAGCAATAAAACTGCAGCTGAGGACCCAGTTATCTAGGAAGAGAAAATATGAATTTCATTTTTTTATTTTCTAAATTAAAGTCTAACATAATCACAGAAACCATTTCTATTTCGGCAGACCACCGGGTAGATTTAAGGAACCTTCTTCAATGAGTATACCAGGAAAACAGAAACTTCCCGGGGAGATTAGAAATTAATGGCAAGTTCTCCACAGAAATCAAAGAAAAAGAGATGATAAAAACTTTGATTTTTCTGGACTTAAGGCTAAAAAATGTTCTGGACAAGAGACTCTGCCTGATACAAGAGTCCTAACTGGTTATACTCAGATCATCTTTTTGAGATGATGAAAATAGAGTGAATGCCAGCCCCCCACCTTCAGGCAGTCTCAGGCATGCTCCACGAGGAGACCCGGATTGGGGGCGCCAGCGTGGGAGGGACTTGGGCGATCCCTGTAAAGCTGTCTGCCTAAAGCGCCGCCCACCTGAAGCTGTTTGGCTGCCCTGCTCTCGGAAGCCCCTTCAGGCTTGTGAAGCTGATGCCTCATGTTCTTTGGCAGTCTGCACAGCTGACCTCTCTGCCTGTTACCAGTCCTGCTTTCCACTACCAGGCACCTTCTATTTGCTGCCCCATTTGCTGAGATCTTCCTTCCCGTTTGTTCCCTCTTAGTTGTTTTACTTGTCTTTGCGTCTTTCCCGACTTCTCTCCCTTCTTTTGTGGTTCTGCACAGCCCCATCTCTAGCCAAATTTTGTTTGTTTGTTTTTCATGGGGTTCTCTTAAACACAAACCATAAACTTCTATTTCTCTTTTTTTTTCATCAAAACCTGTACTGGAGTCTTTCTTAACTGCCTAAATTTGTTTGTTTTGTTTAGGTTTTATTTCTGAATTTGGAGATACTCCAGATTCTTGGGGAATAACGTAGAGATGATCAAAATTATGCTTTGCCACAGAGAGCAAGATGTACACAATGGCTGTCCGTATCACAGACATTGATGGAGCTTCTGGTTAGTAGGGCAGTACCTGAGGTGCTGGGGATTGGTTAACACCAAGAAAGGCACAGTGTCTGCTGGTACTGAGCTTACTGTTGAGTGTCGAAACAAAAATTAAATAATATTGAGTGTGATGAACGTTATGAAAGAGGAAGTACAAGGATAGGATAAGAGCATATAGCAAAGGAGTTTAAATTTAACATAGGCTGTGTGTCTGTTACCTGAGCATCTGTCCCATCACTCATGCATACTGGCAGATAAAACAGCCCTTCAAGACTGATGGCAAAATTAGAGGAGGATAACTTTGTGCAATGTTGACAAACCCAAAGCTTTAATGCAAATTCCACTCCTAACTGGTGTCCCTGTTTTGGAATGGTAATGTGGGGAGAAGGGAGCTGATAAGTTTTTGAATTTTTTTCTAAGCCAAGGTGCTATGGTCAACTGGGCAAATATGTGCATATTCTGAGCTAGAATCTTTAAGCTGATTATTAAGCTAATAAACAAAATTACCCTATTATTTTATACTTCCTCAAATGTGCATAATAATTATTCATGTGTGTGTGTGTGTGTGTGTATGTATGAGTGTGCATGTATGGTTTATTTTTGCTGTATGGCAGGCATTATTCTAGGTATGTTAAATTTATCATCTGAACTAATTTGCCTAAAATATGTTAACTATTATTATTATCATATTTTAAATATAAGGCAACTGAAGCATAGAGAGATTAAGAGGCTCATGGTTATCCAACTAATAAAGGAAAAAACTATGATTTAATTCTATTGTGTCAGATCCTATAGGAATTATTCTGATATCTGGAGGTAAAAAGAAGGGGAATTGACAAAGTTGTCAGAAGATTATCTATAAGTTGACTTTAGAAGGGTTTTCACTGAAATCCACATAGAACTTTTTAACGGTCTCTGTCTGAAAATATTTCACATTTTCGAAATTCTTCTAACTAGTTACTATTTTTTTATTGTGGCAGTCTGGTGAACTTCTAAACATTTCATAATGCTCACCTGTTTCTTTGTAGATAATTTTTTGTAATTATTTACAAACCCCTTTTTGGTCAAAGAAGACTTGTAGCCATTGTATTTGTACAGTTAAAACAATAACTTATTCAATATTTAACCCTACAAATAGTTACTTTCACTGAAACCAAAAAGTTTTCCCTAAATTTCATTGTTTGGAGAATTCATGTTATCAGAAGCTTTATAAATAAGCTTGTGGGAAATGTGGGAAATTATACTTTATTTTCTTGAGATTGACAATGTACACTAGCAAATTAAAAGCTCCTACATGAAGGCCTGC